CCGCCTCCCAATACACCCCTGCCTGCAAGTTTGTTCATTAGGGGACAAAGCCTGTCTTCCCGCAGTGGGAAATACGGCACTGAGTAAAAACTGTCCCTGGGAGAGGTGACAAACAAGTTCTCCTTAAGCTCAAAGTGCTAGTGTGTCCTCTCCTGCACCCAGCTCTCGTGGGGATGGAGCAGGGGCCCTTGGAAGGGTGGAGCCAGCAGCGGGAGGCAGGCACAGGCACAGAGGGGCCCAACGACTTCCCTTCCTCCCAGTTGGGGACTGGAGCCCTCTTCCCCTGCAGTGCTGGTGACGAAAGCAGTGGAGGTGGCTGCTCTCAGCGGCCTTGACACTCCCACTAACTAGAGAGAAAATAAAGGCTCCCGTCCTTCATGCTCGCTTCTCTCGGCAAAAGAAATAAAATGGCCCACTTACTTTTATCGCCCACAGATTTCCTGGGAAATGGACTATTAGTTCCCCTAATGTGAAGATAATAGGCTCGTCCCCTTTGCAAATGGCAAAGCCCCAGCACCAACACGCTCACGGAACTGGGCAGGAAGCCTGTCCTGTGGGGACCAAGGGCCTGGGAGCAGGAGGAGCAGGACTAGGACCCATTCAGGGACCAGGGCGGGGGCGGGTTAGGCTGGGGCTCCTCCACCCCCAGCCTGCAGTGCTGGCTGCAGCCACCCGTGTGAGTCCTCCATGCCCCTGACTTCCCTCTCCTCTTGGCTTGTGGGAGCAGGGCCGGGGTAGCAATAAAGGAGAGAGTCATTAACTAAATGGGAGCGTGTCTCACTCTGAAGGTAGGAACTGCTACTAAACAGACTCACGGCACCACAGAGACGGTTTCTGGGGTCTCTCCCTGCTTCTGCTGCTGACCTCACCCCTAGAAGACATCACTCAATTGCACGGTGTTCACATCTAAGCTTCACAAACACCTAGGGGTAAGTAGACACTATTATAATGAGCCCCAATTAACAGGTGAAAAACCCGAGTATCAAACAGGTGAACTCGGGTCATGCAGCAAGACAAACGGCTGAGCTAGGACTGGACTCAGACACCGTGCCCTGCAGGCCAAGGACAGAATGCTCCCCAGGTAAGTGGTCCCTGCTTGTTCTTTTCAGACACTGTCTCCATCTCCTTCTCTGCTTCCATCACCGAGCAACAGCACTTCAGGGACCTTGGAGGGGCACTAGGCTCACAGTGAGCTGCCTGCCCTCCTCACACACTGGGTGGGGGGCTCCTCAGCCCTCGGCGAGGTCTATGCTCACACACCAAGAGCAGAGAAAAGGGCCTGGCTTTCCTGCCTGCAGACACTGGCCTCTCCGTGCCGAGCCCAGGGCACTGCGAAGTGGCGCTGGCATCTGAGCATTTAGTCACACAGGTTGTACTCTAGTTTTATGCTGCTGCTTTACTCGTCACATTGATGCCATCTCTCCACTTAGGCTGCACGCTCTGGGAGGGCAATGATCCCAGCTGGTCCCATTTTTGCTCCCAGGGAGCCTGGGCTGTGCTGGACAGGTAATGGGGACTCTGTGGCACCTGTGGGTTGATGACTTGGGGCAGGGTGGGGGCATGGCTCTGTTCGCAATGGCCATAGTGAGTGTCTGACATTGCAAACTGCCCGTTCTGCCCAAGCTCGTTTCCTGCTGTGCCTGGTCTGTGTGCGTCTCTCTGTGACCTCCAGGTCCGGCACACAGTAGGTGCTCTCCTCCCACTCCTATCTCTGTTGTCCCTATCACAAGCTGTAGAGGCACAAGCAAGCAGACAGCAGGGAAAGGCTCAGCCAGAGGGCGAGGGGCCGCTACCTATATTCCCCTTCTCATGGCCTGAGGATGGAGGAAAGTGAACTCATGTTATCTTTCTGTTCCAAAGGAGAGAGAGGATCTGCCTAGGACCATAGATGTGTGTTAACAGCCCCAGGGGTTGCTGGGCATCCTCAGGCAAACTGCCCAGCCCAGGAAGCGATGCCCAGTCTGTGAGGGGCATGCAGCCTTTGACTGCCCTTATGGGCTGCCCATGGGGTGATCAGAACCCTTTCTAGGGGATAGTGATGGGGTAGAATCATTCCATGTTTCAGAGGGGGGACCACAAGCCCAAGAGATGACGGAAGGGTCCAAAATTCCTTCGGCTGCTCTTGAAGTTGCAAAAAGGAGGGAGGATGCATCTACGCCAGCAGGAAGTAGCGGGGCGTCGCAGGGAACACTTAAGGATGAGGCTGGGCGAATTTGAGCGTGCAAATAAGTAGTAGGGTCAGTTTACTGATCAGCCTTCTCCTCCTCCTCGATCTCCTGCTCGTCTGCGGGCTTCGAGGCCACAGCCTCAGGCTCCATGTCCTCTGCAGTCTCTACTGGTGGCTCCCCGGTCAGGAGGTCCCGGGCCAGCTGCTCCAGGTGCCCCGGGCTTATCCTCTGCAGGCGCTCCTCATGCTCCTGCCTCAGCAGCTGCAGCACTGCCTTGGCATCCTGGGGCCCAAAGTGTTTGGCGAGGACCTGGGCCAGCTGGTGCCACAGAGGCTGGGGCTGGAGGGCCTCCTCGGGCACCGTGTTCTCCAGGGGCCGCACGATGACACTGATGGAGGCATTGGGCCCGATGCAGTAGTCAGACAGACACTTGTCATCGGCTAGAAGCTGGCCACGGAAGAGCAGGTGCTGCCGCTCCTCGGGCACCTGCAGCCGCTCGGACACCAGCTTTTTCAGCATGGCCACGCTCTCCTGCCCCGACACCTTCAGGCTGCATTTCCGGCCCACGAGCAGCTTGACCGTCAGAAACATTGGGGCCGAGAGCGGAATCAGGAGGGACCCATGCTCCAGTGGCTGGCCTGAGGGTTACGGAGCCGGCAGGAGAAGGCGGCTTCTCCCTGTCAATGGAGGGTGGTGGCCCCAGGAGCCTAAGGGCCCGGCCCAGGAGGGCAGCCATTGGCTCATGCACAGTGATGTCACAATGCCTCGGGAGGGTCTGACCTTAGGGAAGTCAGAAGGGCGTTTTGGGCACAGAGCATCCTTCCTCCATAGGAGGGGAAAGGAGAATAGAGGAGGAGACAAGGGGAGCCGGGAAAGAAAAATAACATCACAGTGGATACTCTGCGGCCTCACGAAGCTTCCCGTCCAGCGAGCCAGCCAGCACTCATCAAGTGACCCCGTTCGGTCACATGCTTACATGCTCTCTTGGGTTGGGTGTCCCAGAAGCAGATCCCGAGGCAGGGATTTAGTTGTGCTTAGTTGGGAGGTGACCCTCGGAAGCACCAGTAGGGGTGAAGCGAGACGAGGGAGAGAGGGAAGCCTGCACTGACGGGCAGGTTGCCTTTGAGGGCAGCCGGGAGCCTTCGCCCTGCTGGCTCTCCGGGCTGCTGCAGGGAGGCGAGGGAGCGGGGCTGCTGTGCGCTGTGTCCTGCCTTCAGTTAGCGGGGTGCCGACTCCCTGGCACCTGTGGTCCACACGTGTGACCAGAGGAAACCCTTGGGCAGAGGTTTGCAGAGGCAGTAAGGGGCCATCAGGTTTTAAGGAACATGGGTGTTGAGGGGACAGGACTGTGCCACCGACATCATCTGCTTCATGGCCTCTGAGGCAGGTACTGTCATCTTCTCCATTTGCCAGAGGAGACCATGGGGCTCAGCTTCATCATTCGGCAAGCAGGCAGTGCAGCCAGTGTCTTCCTCACCCCTGTCCCGCCTCCTAAAACATCTGTTCAGAGCCCTCTGTGCGCCGGGCAGTCAGCAGGCACCCAGGGCCCCAGGTGGGTGAAGAAAGGAACACTTACGGGGACTCCACTGCGTCAGCACCTTCTGCAGCACAGGCATTTTCGGTCGAGCTTGTCGACGGCCCTTTATAAATGTTGGCGCATCTAACCCTTGAGGACGGTATTGTTATCTCATTTTAGAAATGAGCGAGCATGGAGAAGACCCGGTTGACGCCCCATAGCTGGCGGGGTGATTTCGTCAGGCATCCCCTCACCTCTCCCCAGCTCCCCTGGCTTCACCTCCTGCTCCGCCAGCACCCGCCTCTCCTCGCCCCTCCTCCCCTCGGCTGACCTGCCCTTTCCCTCCCGCCTGGACTGCACTTGAATAAACACTGTTGCCAACACCCTTGGACTTTCCAGACCCTGCTGGTCCCCAGCACCCAGCCCTGATGCTTCCCTGTCTCCCTCGTCTCGCTTCACCCCTACTGGTGCTTCCTAAGGTCGCCTCCCAACTAAGTACAACTAAATCCCTGTGCTCCAATCTCTCCCTTCTGGCCCTGGCAGCCCTGGGCAAGGGAAGAAAACACCCATGGACGCCACAAACTTAGCCAGCCCTCCCCCTCCCCTAACCCCCATGTTCTCACTCACAGCAGGCGACCCAAATCCTAGTCCTGAGAGAAACTAAGCTCACGGTTCAGGAATTCCCGGACATCTTGCCCCTTCTCTCACCCACCACGTGCTGCCCAGTCCAGCTGGGCCTTCCCCGCCTTCCTGCACCCCCGCCCTGCAGGACGAACCCCTCCCTGTGACTGTCTCCTCCTTCCAGTCCCACCCCCTCATGTCCATTCCTGCCACAGCTGGGGGAGGAGGGGGCTTCCCAGGTCAAAGTTAGGTCAAGTCACTCCTCTGAGCAACATTATTCACCTTAATCCTCTGCTTTTGGAATCGAATCCAGCCCCTCAGCCCGGTCTCCAAGGGCATCACGACCTGGCCCTGCTTCCCCCAGCCTTCTCCACTTTGCATCCTCCACTCCAGCCATAGCCACCTGCCATTTCCTCTACTTGCTTGTCCCATTTGAACTCTTCCAACTCATCCTTCAAAATGCTGGTTCAAGACCACCTCCTCCATGAAGGCTTCCTTGCTTTCCCCAGCCCTGAGCAGATGTAATTCCGCCTGCATAAATTGCACAACCGCAAACTCTCCTTGAACATCCCTGTGTGGATGTACTCAGAACACGTCTGTGTCTCCCTCACTTCTCTCGGAGTGGGTCTCATCCGTCTTTGTGTCCCCACCTCCCGCACATAGAGCCTGGTGCACCGAAGCCCTCGAAGATACGTCTGTCGAATGAAGATAAAATTTAGACAGGCTGAGCCATGCAGGAGGACGCAGGCTGTGGGAAGATATAAACCTGCCTGCAGCCTCTCCCTCACCCCCGTTTTCTCCCCTAGAGAGATGAAAATCCAAAACCACATTTAAAATAAATCTAAGCGATTCCACTCTTTACCAAAGGATCTTCTACAGTATTCTTTAAATATCCTACTCCCTTGGTGCATTAGAAATAAGATAAAATTTGCGAATGTGCACGCAGTGTGTAGGGGCCTCGCAGACCCCGTGATGGTCAGGAGCGTCTGCAGAGCGGGAGCAGAGGGTGGACGAGGCTTTCCTACTGCCATCTGGGAGTCCCAGCCTCTGGAGGGGAAGACCCTGAGGTGGAAAACCGTGGGATGGACAGGGGAATATACCAGGACAGAAGCTTTGGAGTTCGGGATGTCCCAGGTAGCTGAGAGAGTTGGTCACCACCGTCTGTGCCTAGGACTCTTACTGCCCTCCCCAAGGACAGTGGGGGCACTTTCCCAGGCCCTCGATTCATACTTGGAGCTTGGAAATGTCATCATTTTTCCCATGTTATTATCACTTGTCTTAATTATGGAATTACTGTGATTGTGTAGTCCACCTGTGCAATCAGACAGT